CATGATTCCACCTCTATGATCTTATCCACAAATTTGCCCAAGTGGACGTCTGCGATTGACGAGCTGACTGCTCGGCAAACCATCGACTGATGAGTTGTAGACAACCTTGATGTCGCGGCCTTGATCTGAGTGTGTAAATCGTGCAGATGACCTAGGGTCGCCAGCATTGCCCGTTCTGGGGGTGAGACATATTGACTGAACGTCTTTTCGTCGCCCGCTCCTGCGGTGGACCCCGCGTGCGACCAGATGGGTGATTGGAGGCCGGATAAGGACAAGAGGATCTCATGAAGCATTTTGATGGTTTGGCACGAGGACGGGGTGCAGGATCGTGGCACAAATCGAACAAAGCGGGAGAGTCGTGCTGCCGCTGAAATTTGAGGATTAGCCGCCCGAACAGCTCGAAGCGACACATTGAGAGGAACTGGGGCCCATTGCGAATGCAAAATCGAACCGATGCAGATGGACCGTGAATCAACACGCGTCGGTAGGAAGCAAGACGCGTCGAGAAGCGTTGCTTTGGTCGACTACCTACGACTCGGTGGGAAGATTTGGAGGGAGAGTTTACACGGCGATAAGAGAGCTCTACACAACACCTAGAAACCTTACAAGCCGGTTGAAGCGGCGGTGACCTTTGCTCAGCGCGTTGAGCGTGGGGCGCATCACTTTGACTGCGAGGTATCCCTACATCAAGTGGCAAGTGCGCCGACTGGTGGCCTTTCAGCCTAACCACAAGTCACCTAGGCAGCCTGCTGAGGCCTGTGAGGCTTATTACTATTGCCTGCGATTATTGCATCACTGTCTTGGGCGTCTGCCTTCTCACCCAATACGAATTGCTCTCCGACATCAAGGAACCAACTGCGGTCCGCGACGCTTCTTTGACTAATATAACAAAACAACCTTGCCTTCTGCCTTCTGGTTGCGCCATCAGATTCTGTCCTTTTCTTCATAATCAACCTCTTGTCAACTTGTCCTCACGTCACTCATTTTCGCCTCCCTCTCCTCCTGCCACGGGGTTCCCCTCCTCCCTCTGAAGCGTTTATCTGAAGCAGCTGTTTGCGCTCTTCGGATCAATTCTACCGCCATCTGGGTCTTGCTTGAGGCAAGGCCACTGTCACCATTTCACCTCACGCCGAGTTCCCAGACTCTATAAAGGCCGGTAGCAAAAGAAAGGCTTCGTCAGAAGACCTCGCCCGGCCAGAAAAGAAAATCATGACAGACTCTGTGATGGAAGTTGACAACCCTGGGGCTGCCATTACGGAGCTCCAGAATGGCGAAATCGACGAATCTCTCTACAGCCGGCAACTCTATGTCCTGGGCCACGAGGCTATGAAGCGGATGGGTGCGTCCAATGTGCTCGTCGTCGGGCTGAAGGGCCTGGGCGTGGAAATTGCAAAGAACATTGCCCTGGCCGGCGTCAAATCCCTGACCCTCTTCGACCCTGACCCTGTTGCTATTGCCGACCTTTCCTCCCAATTCTTCCTCCGGTCTGCAGACGTGGGCAAGCCCCGAGCAGAAGTGACCGCCCCGCGTGTGGCCGAGCTCAATTCCTACACTCCCGTTGCCGTCCACAAGGCCAAGGCATTAACCGATGACTTGAGCCAACTCAAAAAATACCAAGTCGTCGTGCTCACAACCACATCTCTGAAAGATCAACTCACGATTTCCGATTATTGCCACCAGAACGGCATTTACCTGGTGATTGCCGATACGTTTGGTCTATTCGGCTACATCTTCACCGACTTTGGGAAGGACTTCACAGTGGGCGACATTACCGGAGAGAATCCCATCAGCGGCATTGTTGCGGATATTGATGAGACTGGTCTGGTATCTGCTCTGGACGAGACAAGACATGGACTTGAAGACGGCGACTATGTGGAGTTTGCAGAAATCAGAGGAATGGAAGGTCTCAACGGAGCACCTCCTCGGAAGATCACTGTTAAAGGCCCGTACTCGTTCTCTATCGGCGATGTCTCGGGACTGGGTAAATATGAAGGAGGCGGTCTTTTCTCCCAGGTCAAGATGCCGAAGGTGCTTCAGTTCCAGTCGCTGTCAGAACAGATCAAGAAGCCAGAATTCCTCGTATCCGATTTTGCCAAATTTGACCGACCAGCCAAGCTCCATATTGGCATTCAAGCTCTCCATGCTTTCAAGGAAAACAAGGGCACCTTCCCTCGTCCACACAACGAGGAAGATGCAAAGGAAGTCCTAGAAATCACGAAGAAGTTGGCCAAGGAGAGTGCTGAGGAGGTCGAAATTGACGAAAAGTTGATCACAGAGCTAAGCTACCAGGCACAGGGTGACTTGAGCCCCATGGCTGCGTTCTTCGGTGGTCTCGCTGCGCAGGAAGTGCTGAAGGCTGTGTCAGGGAAGTTTACACCGGTTGTACAGTGGATGTACTTTGATTCTTTGGAATCCCTCCCTACTTCTGTGAGCCGAAACGAAGAGCTTTGCAAGCCCACAGGTTCGCGATATGATGGCCAGATTGCGGTGTTTGGTAAGGAGTTCCAAGAGAAGATCTCCAACGTCAAGAACTTCTTGGTTGGCGCGGGCGCCATTGGATGTGAGATGCTCAAGAACTATGCTATGATCGGTTTGGGTACTGGCCCCAAGGGTCACATCACAGTCACAGATAACGACTCCATCGAAAAGAGCAACCTCAACCGTCAGTTCCTGTTCCGAGCAAAGGACGTTGGGAAACAGAAGAGCGAGGTTGCAGCGGCAGCAGCCCAAGCAATGAACCCGGACCTCAAAGGGAAGATAACGACAATGACAGATCGCATCGGGCCCGACAGCGAGGACATCTTCAATGAGGCGTTTTGGCACGACCTGGATATTGTCACAAATGCTCTGGACAACGTCGAGGCTCGTACATATGTCGATCGACGCTGTGTTTTCTTCATGAAGCCTCTGCTGGAAAGTGGCACTCTGGGAACAAAGGGCAATACCCAAGTCATCCTCCCGCGTCTGACCGAGTCGTACTCTAGCTCGCAAGATCCGCCCGAGCAGTCCTTCCCGATGTGCACACTTCGAAGCTTTCCCAACAAGATCGAACACACCATCGCCTGGGCTCGAGACCTGTTCCAGTCATATTTTGTGGGACCACCGGAGACGGTCAATCTTTACATGTCACAGCCAGACTACATCAATACCACGCTCCGACAGCAAGGCAACGAGAAGCTGATCCTGGATAGTCTGAAAGAATTCCTGGTTACCGACAAACCCAGCGATTTCAATGACTGCATTGCTTGGGCGCGGATGCAATTCGAAAAGCAATACCACAATGCCATCGCGCAGCTTCTCTACAACTTTCCCAAGGACTCGAAGACATCGACTGGGGCTGATTTCTGGTCAGGACCAAAACGTGCTCCCACGCCTCTCAACTTCGATCCCTCGGACGAGACACATATGGGATTTGTTGTGCACGGGGCAGCACTACACGCCTACAACTATGGCATTCCCGTCCCCCAGCTCAAATATGAGGACTATGTCAAAGTTCTGGACAGCATGATCATACCCGAATTCAAACCCGACGCAAATGTGAAGATCCAGACTGACGAGAAGGAGCCAGACCCCAACGGACCAGCACCGACTTTTGCAGATGATGCGGAAGAGCTGGACAAGATTATAGCCGAACTGCCCACTCCCAAGAGTCTGCCCGGGTTCCGGCTCAACGTTGTGGAATTTGAGAAGGACGACGACACCAATCATCACATCGACTTCATCACTGCCGCGAGCAATCTCAGAGCATTGAATTACAACATTCCAATTGCCGACCGTCACAAGACGAAGTTCATCGCTGGCAAGATTATTCCTGCTATCGCCACCACCACAGCCCTCGTTACTGGACTGGTGATTTTGGAGCTATTCAAGGTGGTGGACGGCAAGACCGACCTCGAACAATACAAGAACGGTTTCGTCAATCTTGCACTACCGTTCTTTGGATTTAGTGAACCCATTGCCAGTCCCAAGGGCACGTACCAGGGCAAGGAGGGCGAAGTGACCATTGACAAGCTCTGGGATCGCTTCGAGGTGGACGACATTACTCTGACCGACTTCTTGAAACACTTTGAGAATTTGGGATTGAGTGTGACGATGGTGAGCTCTGGAGTTAGCTTGCTGTACGCCAGTTTCTACCCTCCCAGCAAGACCAAGGATCGGCTGCCTCTCAAGATGAGCAAGCTGCTCGAGACCATCAGCCGGAAACCGATCCCAGAACACCAGAAGAATATCATCTTTGAGATTACTGCCGAGGATACCACTGAAGAGGATGTTGAGATTCCGTATGTGATGGTCAAGTACAAGAAAGACTGAGGAGGCGTTTGGTAGCCTTGGCGCAACTAGAAATCATGGCCTTGCTCGTGGGTGCAGCATCGGATAGACCTTGTTTCTCTCACCTCTGTATGATGACTAGGGGAAGACAGGTATTAGGTGGACATTGCATGGATCAGATCAGGAGATCAGAAGATCAGAAATAGCCCAACACGAAGTATTTGATAAAAGAGACTTTGCGCATGGTGGGATAAGAGTGCGCCGTGGCCGTAAAGAGGAAGTCCCTAAGTGCCTATTGCCGCAAGGTGCGCTTGCCGTCACCGAGTCTTACTGCATCTTTAGTCAGGATACATGATTTAGTCATCCACACCACAGGCCATGGTCTCCCACCCACGCGTCTCCCCCGGTGGTGTCGGGACTCTCATCATGATGCTTGGATGCTTGTCTACCGAAACGTGGTCGCAATACCCCTCTCGCGCTTCGCAAAAACCCCCCACCACCACAAATTGTGTCATCGAAATGACGGCGGGCGTTCCGCATGTGGTCCACGCCATGAATAACCTGCGCGTTGGCTGAACAAGTACAAAAGCTGCTGGTTGCTTCCTCTGCCAATTCAGTTGCTCCAACTCAATCAGTCCATGTCCAGTGTCCTCAGACGGGCTCGATTGCAGCTTGTACACCTGACCACGAAGCCTACCTCGTCAGCAGCACCTTCGAAATCAGAATCCACCATGTCATCGGTACGGAGCAGCTCTCTCTTTGCAACCTCTATCCTCGTTCTTCTGATCTCTATCGTCGCGTTGTACTACCTGGAGTTGGGGCTGAACATAGATTTCCTGTTACAGAACAAAGGAGGCATCACAGACTGGGTCAAGCCAGGCGACACGTCGGGCGAGTTCAAGAGACAGGTTTCATCGTTTCGCAACTGGATCTCGAGCGACCCAAATGCAGAGTTTCCTGCGGAGAAAGGGAGATACCATCTATATGTCAGCTATGCATGTCCTTGGGGTATGGGAGCTCCCTAGTGTGAATTGTTGAAAGAGAATGGCGTCGTTGACAAAGAACGGAACAGCACACCGGACACTCATCGTGAGGAAATTGAAGGGATTGGAAGAGATCATTCCCTTTACCAGCGTTCATTGGCATATGGCCGAGAAAGGTACGTCTTGGATCCCTCGAGATATGCCATGCGCGAGTAGTGAGTTGACTGCTTCCTCAAAAGGCTGGCGCTTCGCAACACCCGACGAACAACTCCCGGGAGAAAATACTACACCAGACCCTCTACACCCTAACAACACTCACCTTCGTGACCTGTACTTTGCGGCGAATCCCAACTACGAAGGTCGCTTCACGGTTCCCACACTCTGGGACAAAAAGAAACAGACCATCGTGAACAACGAATCCTCAGAGATCATTCGCATGTTCTATACCGCATTCGACGACATCCTCCCTGACGAGTACAAGAATGTGGTGCTTTACCCGGACAATCTCAAGGACAAGATCGAGGAGGTTAACAAGTGGACGTACGACGACATCAACAACGGCGTCTACAAGTCCGGGTTCGCAACCACCCAAGAAGCCTACGAACGCAACGTCCTCCAGCTCTTCAAATCGCTCGACCGCACCGAGGCCATCCTGGCCGAATCCTCGTCCCAAGGACCGTTCTATTTCGGCGCTCAACTCACCGAGGCCGATGTCCGGCTGTATACCACGATCGCCCGCTTCGACCCGGTCTACGTGCAGCATTTCAAATGCAACATCAAGGATATCCGAAGCGGTTACCCACACATCCACCGGTGGCTGAGGCATTTGTACTGGACCATCCCGGCTTTTGGGGAGACGACGCAATTCGAACACATCAAGAAGCACTACACCAAGAGCCACAAGCAGATCAATCCGTTTGGCATCACGCCCGTGGGGCCCGTGCCTGATATTTTGAAGGAAGATGAAGAGGTTAGTGCGGTGGTGAAGAAGTAGCTGAAACTGTGTCAGTGGGGATCAGGCAGCAAGCGGATAATGTGCTGGGCCTGGCGCGAAGCTAATGTTTTGTTGAATACCCTGAGTGATTCCATGGACGACGAGATTGTTTGGGAAGAGTGAAAAAAATATCTCAACACTTGAGGCTTATCCTATCTGTAAAAATCAAGTTATTTGGGCCAATAATGGGGTTGTTGGTAGGTTGGTAATCTCTTCATGAATCAAGAAGCTACCTACAATGCAGCCTACGCCTTCTTACAGCGATGATGGAGGTTGTACTCGGTAGATCTCTGCGTTCTTTGCGCGTCGGGGATTCATTCTTTTGTTCCCTTCCCTTCCTCTGGCCGTCTTCAACCACGGATTCGATTCGAAATCGAGCACCACAACCCGGCACTGATCTATATAAGGTGACAAAGTAGGTAGGTATCTTTGTAGCCATGTTACGTTCAGCCTTGAAAGGTCGCCACGTCGACGGACACCGTATGCTGGAGTCTGTAGTCTGAATACTGTACCCTCTGCCGTGTAGCCTGTAGCCTGTAGCCTGTGGCCTGTCCACTGTAGATAGATAGATGGACAATCAGGATATCGTAATATGGCGTGTGGTATCAGACCATGTCGCATCGTGTCGCGGTCCTGCCATTCATATTCCATGGCCAAAAAAAAAAAAAAAAAAAAAAAAACCGCCCCCTGATAATACAGTAACTGAACCAATACCCCCCCCGCTCCCCCAAAAAACCCTGATCCCCATCATCCCGCATATCATCATATCCAAACATGTTCCCATAATGTCGTCAACTTGTCGAGTTCAAAATCAAAAAAAGGCTCCTCGTTGCCTTACCTTCCCTTCCCTTTGCTCCTCTCCTCTCCACTGTCCCCCGGAGTTTTGTCGGGTTTCTTCAATGACAAAAACCTCAAGTGGTTCACAGTTGTCACTGGTGCTCCCACTTCACTCCTTCCCGTTCTTCTGGAGGTGGTGTGATTTACACGGCGACGCTCGGTGTGTTACTGTCACACTGTCGTTTCGGATGACTGATTGTTTGCCGTCTCTGTGGCCCCCATATCGTTGTTCGGCTCAAGTGGTTGTCTTCGCCTGGGTTCGATGGGTCGGTCAGCCGCATCGCGAGGTCTGCTGTTGTGTCGCAGGTTTGAGGTGTGACTATATGGTCCGGGGTACTCCGAAACCGCTTATCGGTGGTTCGGTTGGATAGTGTGTCGGTCGATTTTGTCCTTCATTGTGGTTGTCAGGTTTGGTCTGTTGATTTATTTGCAAGGCCGTTGGTCAGATCGGGTTTGTGTGCCCCGACACCCTCGCGCCTCTCAACTGTTGACATGTTAGAGACCAAGTCTCTGCTGGGTATACTGTCGTGGTATAGATCTGTTCCTCAGTCTCTATAGGTGTTTCTCGGTTCTTGGAGGTGCACCTCAATAGAGACGCGGTGCCCGCTCTGATTTCGTCCATGTCTCAGGGCCTTTTTTGACCTTTTCGGCCATGACCCCGTCCAGATTGTGCTCTCTGAATCCTCTTCTCGTTGAGCTCTCTGTTCGCCAGGTAGGTCGGCTCGGCTATGGCTCGTTGAAAGCTGACTGCCCACTCGTTCGTTGGCATGGCCCACACGCGCCTCCTTGTCGTCGTCAGAAGGCGTTAAAGCTGGTGGGGATGGACGGCGATGTCCTGCTTGCACCAAGACCGTTATGTTGGGCATCTCGGTGCCCGTCGACAGTGTAGATTTCGGTGATTCTGGACTTGGGAGCTGTACCGGTTCAGGCTGTTGTTCGTCGACTGGACAGGACATGGCACCCTTCGCTTCGAGTAGCTCTTGCACAAAAGGCAGGCGACCCGCTTTGTTCTTGAACGTCATGAGGACGACGGCCGTCTTCATCCTCTCCAAGATTCCCATGCCACTGACAGATCTGAAAGTTGGAGCAAGATCTCCAATGAGCAAGCGTTCGTACATTTCCCAGCATTCTCGGTCGAGAAGAGCGCGCACGACCTCTGGGTCCACCATAACTTCGTCCTCTTCGCCACCACTCTCTAGCAAGGGCACGAGAAGGAGACCCTTGGCCTGAGCATAAGGCTTGTTGCCCGGACAGTGTAATTGGGGCATGCCTCTGAAGGTAAAATGTTCCCAGGACATGCCTAACTCGGGTTTCTTCTCGTCGCCGAAGAAATACGGCTCCCTGTGCATGGCGCGACATAGAGTGAGATCGCCGAGGCGGGCGATTTCCAGTCTCCGGAGATTGTACCAGACATGGACCAGCTCGTGCACCAGGGTGATGGCCAGGCTGACTAACACCATGTTCTTGACGTCTGCTGTGAATGTGTTGTAGTGGTAGTGGGTGAAGAAGGTTGTGAATTTCGTATTGAGCTGCACTGCGGTGGTTGGCATTTGTGGTGCGTAGTCCTTGGGGTAAGTGCCGAAATATGTCGAGGCGTATGTGTCTTCCCGGGTGTCACGGTGATAGCCGGTGAAGAACTGCATGTTGTGGAGGTTGTCCATCATGTCCGGGAACATTCGTGGTCGGTGCTCTGGTTCCGTGAAACGATCATATTTGATCTTCGTGTCGTCATATATAAATTCCCCAAACATAAGAATGTTGAAGAATTCAGACGTCCAGATGCAGAACCGTGTCGCTAGCACAAGCGCAGGTCGTATTCGGTTGTAGAATTCGTCGTCGATGGTGTATTTGGGGTCAAGCCAGGTATCAATGGGGCTGTCAAGCCCCCTGATGATGTCGAGGCGGCTGAAGTTAGATTTTTTGAAGATGGCGCAAATGCGGCCTTCGGACTGTGGAGGTTGAGGCGTCTTGCACATATCTTCATGTCTTGGAGAAAAGACCTGTTTCCAGGCTTTTCGACTTGGATGTAGGAAGAACTGTCGATTTGACTGTGTTGAGGCCATTTTGGTGAGGGGTTCCTGGGTCACACACATATCGCCCGCTAGACTGCTCTTCGGGGACACCTGAAGTTCTATTGATAGCTGTGCTGCTCTTGTTGGTCAGTGTGGACGTTTCTATGCAATGGTAGACAACGTGAGATGCACGATGTGGCTGTTGCTGTGAGAGGAAGGATTTTGAGCGCCACGAGAATCGTTGAGAGTCAGGGGGACAGTTGTCACTCCAACGCCACAAGGATAGGTGATTGAGTCAAGGCAGTGGTCGCTGTTAGACTGAGTGCGTGACTGTGCGAAGTGACAGCAGGTAGGTGAGAGCTGACGGATAGACTCCTTGTGACGAGGCAAATTTCGAACATGGTGAATGAAATATACCTATATATATGTGGCAGCGCACGCACCAGCAGGAAAATCTCACGGCATTGTTCATTGTTTCGAGGGGCGTCCGGTGGAGGATTTGCATGCTTCTGTTCCATATACATCACCATGTCGTGATTGGATACCCAAAGATAATAACCTTCTCAATGTTCACGCAACCGAAGTTTATGCGGTAGATCATGGAGGTGGCTCCGGCAGGGCGCGTGAATCCATCATACAGTCCGGGGCTGGTGTGAACTTTCAGAGGCAGCGCAGCTGGTCTGCAAGGCCTGGTGCCGGGCGTATTTCATCTTCGAAGTATCTTTTCCCCAACACGTCGGAGTTCTGTCACAATATGCCCATGGCTGGAGGGATTCAGATCTGTGCGTAGCATCGGCTGCCAGTTTGGACTCTGTGCACAGGGGTTCACTCATCTTAACGCGCGGTGGTGAATGTCCCATGTTGATTTTTCTTCGGCCAACATAGTGAGACTGTGGCCTCATAGCGAAACCGCCGACGAGCCGACGAGAAGTAAAGCAAGGTAAGAACCATATGTAGAAGATTTGCATCCAAAGGTGTCTTTATTGAAGCAAGAAGAAATGACCTGCGTTTTCTCTGCATCGGAAAAGCAGGCCGAGTTTGGTAGGGTGATCAAGGTATCGGAGCATCTCATGGAGAGCCTGAACGCAGTTGCATACCGTCGCATACATTGTGCGGTCCGAAGAACGTAGAATGGTGTAAGAAAAGAAGAAAGAGGGCGCAAAGAGGTTGCCCAAAATATATAATCAACGTCGCCCTGTGGATTCCAGCAGCAAACCAAGGACCGGGATACAAGGTTTGTGGTGTCCCTTGGACAATCCAAGCTTGGTTCCACGGTGTAAGCCTGTGCCTGACCTTTAATCACAGGAGGATGGCCCTTGACGCTGGTTCCACAAGCGAATCTCTTCCTCAACAACAGATGCAATCACGTCAAGGCTGTCCGCTGTTGTGGCTTGCCTGGTCAGTCCCGGTCTCGTTGCCCTTTCTGGCTGGAGGTCTCGCTTTGATATTTTTCCATTCAATCCCAAAAGCAAAGACAAACGCCAGGATGGCCGATACTAGTGAGGCATACTATCCAATTCTATGTTAGCCTGACGACCTGCTCGCGGAGAAGATGATGTTGCTTTCTGATGTGGTTGTGAAACTTACAAAGACATTCGTGATTGCTTTGTTGTATGCCCAAAGCACAGGCTCCAACTTCTCCGGGAACGAGTCTAATGTAGCCTTGCGAGCGTGGCCAGACCCTGCATCCAATAATAGCTGTACTTGTTCGCCGTTGAGACCTGCACGACTCTTGAGTGACTTGACAAGTTGGTTTTGGAAAATCGCCAGAGCAATGCTTTGAAAAACAGAAGCTCCGAAGTATTGGAAGAATGCTACTGTTGATATGCCGATGGGTATTTGTTGAGGTTGTGATGCCAGGGCGGCTTGCACGGCGAGGAGTGGCGACTGCATGCCTCCTCCGCCCACACCCTGTAAGACCAGGTATGTGATCCATTTTGCGTGAGGCGTTGACGTGGTGAGAGTAGTGTAGAGGCCTGATGCGATAGCCATAAAGCCGACACCGACAAAAAACCAGGGGTTGTAGAAGCCAGTACGATTGACTGGACAAAATCAGCTCTACTGGCCTGGTCAAGATAAAGGAGATGAGATGAACTCACTGATTAATCCTGCGACTGTAGCAGTAACAATTTGAGAACAAACCAACGGGAGCGTCATGACACCGCTATGGAGTGCACTAGCTCCCTTGATCACTTGGAACCACTCTGGCAGGTAGTAGACGTTGATGATGTAGGCCCCAAACATGAAGACGCTGAAAAGGCAACTCAGCAGGATTGAACGCCGGAACACGATCGAGAACGGGATCATGGCCCTGTCGCCTTGCCGATGTTCCCAGACAAGGAAGAGCGTAGCAGATCCAGCAGAGCCACATAGGAGTCCTATCACAGTGGCCGACTTCCAAGAATATTGATGGCCGCCCCACTGCAGCGCCAGAAGAGCCATGACAATAGTTGGGACGAATATCGCACACCCGACGACGTCAATTTGTCGTAGCCTCTCCCGCAAAGGTGCCGCATCTGAAGTTCGTGTGGGAGGTTCGAAGAACAGAGCCAACGCAAGCAGTGTGACCGCCCCAGCAGGAAGATTTATGTAGAAGCACCATCTCCATGATACTGATGTCGTCAAGGCCCCTCCAATGATGGGACCTGTGATTGTGGAAACTCCAAACAGGGAAGAGAGGGCGGCTGTGTAGAGTGCACGTTTGGAGAGAGGAGTTACAATCGCGAGAATGGACAACCCGCCAGAGAATATCCCTGCTCCTCCGATCCCAGCAACAGCTCGGCCGAGGATGAACATGTTGGAGCTGACTGCCGCACCGCAGAGGAGAGAGCCCAGAAGGAAGATGCCGACAAAGGTGAAGAAGGTCCACTTGAGAGAAAAGTTGGCGTACAGCTTTCCAGAGAGAGGTTGCAACGAGCAGAGGCATAGAGGGTAAGCTGCCGCGTACCAACCGATATCTGTGGTAGCGTTGAACTGCACCGTGATGGCGGGAATAGCCTGCATCGCGATGTTAGTGATGAGAGAACTGGCAGATTTGGCGGTGTACGACATACTGTAGATATGACTGCGATGTCCAGCGCAAACAGGTAGATGGCAAGACCAAGGCCACCGAGGACGAGGTAAAGCTTTGAGCCAGTCAGGTGGTGAGCGTCTTCCGACTCTGCGATCTGATCAGCGTTCTGGGGTGTTGTGATGGTGTCGACATTCTCTGTGACTGGTATTGACACCGCAGTGGCTTGCTCTGGTTTCTCTGGTGGGAGCATATCGTAACCTGTGTAGCTCGTTGTGATAGTGAAGAGGTCTTGAGAGAAGCCCCTGCCGCAAGGATAGGGTCAGAGACCTGTCTTGGAAGTGAGAAGATTCGGCGCCACTTCGAAAGAAATAGAAGTGAGGCTTCGCAGTCTAGATATAGGACGGTTGCGGTGCCCCTGGTTGCGGACATCGTGAGCATCACACAGGCACCAATCTCGGATCAGAGTGGTGTCAACAGGGACGAAAAAGGAAGTTAGCGCCATCTCCTTTCCAGAGATCAACATGACGGACACAAATTTGACGTTCTAGTAGAGAATATGTGAGGAACAAGGCGGACAGGGGATGAAGAGTCACCGCTGTGTTGATAGAGAGCGGACATGGAACGGCAACGGAGAACAATCGGTCCGTTCTGAAGTGACCTCTGATTGGCTATCTCTGGAACCACCCATCACGTGATACTACAGTTTGCTCAGATTTCCCTGAGGAGCGGAAGTTCAAAGTCCGTTCCCGCTCGTAACCTACGAAATGTATTTCTCCCTCAAGCTTTCCGTCCCCGTTCACCTCAGACGGGGCTCTTACAGAAGACGACGGCAATGAATGGAGTCGGCATCTCTCTATCAAAGCGTAAGGCCTGCGTGCAATGCGCAAAGGCTAAAGCGAAGTGTTCCTTCACCAATGGACTGCACGCTTGCGATCGATGTCGAAGGCTGAGGCGGGATTGCCTCCACGAAGAAGCGCCCCGACGCCAGAAGGAGAAGCAGTCCACGTACGTCACGACCTGTATTGCGCGAGGCTGATCTAACGGAGCGGTAGGAGAATCAAAGCCCTCGAAGAAAAAGTCAGCAGCCTTCTCACACTGCTCACCCAAGACAAGCAGGCTCTGGGAAACACGAATGCTCCAGTCACAATAGCCACACCACCCCATACCGAGGAAGGGACCAGTGATAATGTGTCGTCTGCCTCGATCGGAAATGTGCAGAACATCGAGGCCCCCGCCACATCGACTGCGGAAGAGACTGGGCAATTCGATGTAATTGACAGTGGTGTCTTGACAATGGCCACAGCCGATATCCTCCTCCAGACTTACAAGCAAGTTCACTCCAAGTTCTTCCCTTTTGTCCTCGTCGCTCCGGAAATCGATGCTGCTACTTTACGGAGAGACAAGCCAGTGCTCTTCCTGGCCATAGTGACGGTGTGTCTCGAAGCAGACCACGTTGATCAAAGACGACTTGGGGTTGAACTGAAGAAAACCCTCTCTTCACGATTGCTGATCAGGAACGAGAGGAGTATCGAACTCCTGCAAGCACTGCTCGTGCACCTCAGCTGGATCCAATACCACTTCCATCCCCAGAACAAGCAGACCTATATGCTTCTCCAGATGGCGATCGGCCTTGTCATGGACCTTGACCTTGACCGGTGTCCTGCGCACCGTGATCAGAGAGTGGGGAGTAATTTCTGTAGAATGCATGCGGAGGACAACTTGCCAACACAATGCCAGAGGACGACAGCTGAAACCCGAGCCCTGCTGGGCTGCTTCTATCTTTGTTCTTCGTGAGTACGTCTTTCCCACCCAGTTGAGCGATCTGACCCAGTCCAAGGCTGGCAATGACGCGGAAAGAACTGCTCATGAGTCATACTCGCTGGATCGATCACTGCTGCGACGTTCTTCAAGTCGAGCAAGAGGCAGCCACCGACATAGATGCAACGGCGTTTGTCAGAACCAAATGCCTAGCACAACGGATTAGCGAGAGATTCTCGTATGGCGACCATGCTTCCATTCGATCTCAGAGCGATGTTGTGATCGAGATGTCACTGAACGGCTTCAAGAAGGAAATTGCAGATCTGGAAGCGAACCCTGCATTCTCATCTGCACGGGAAAACTGTGAGTGGTTTGAAGTCTTGCACTCGATAATATCTGCCCCCATCCGACCCCTTGATATTGACGGAAGAAATCTACTAACAAGATGCCTGTAACCTCTCGGAAAGTAGATATATTGATGGCAGAACTGAAAGTATTGTCCATCACAATGTACGAGGTGGCACTCTATCGCGACCTGAGCAGCACGACATCGCCCTCGATGAACAAGGTCTCCCAACTCTGGAACCTCTTGGCCTCGACCCGAGCCTTTGTGGACTACTTCCTCGGCGTGCCTGAAGACGCGCTGAGACACCTGCCTGCGGCCTTCTTCTCCTTTGCGGCGTACGCGCTGATCGTGCTGTCGACGGTGTCACGCCTTCCTTCGACCAGTGGGTGGGACAGCGCGATCGCCAAGCGCGAGGCCGACGTCCTGAACCTGGCGCGGCGCGTCAAGGTCAAATTCGGCGACGAGCTCACCCGCACGGGTAACAGTGTGGGCACGGACCACCGGGATGTGTGGGCTTTTTTCGCACGCGGCATGGGCGGGCTGATTGCGTGGCACGAGCGGTGCGAGAAGGAGAGTCAAGGATCAGCGGCGGTGGCAGCAGCAGCAGGAGGGGGAGAAGGCGAAGAACCCGACTACGAGCTCCGAATCAGCAGACCCGACCATACCTTGACCGCGAGGTGCGCCATGGCCGACGTGATGACCCCGTTCAACACGCTACGGTTCCTCAAGCCCGACGCCGGACCGAATAGAATAACCCCAGAAAGTGAGAAGAACGGGACGCAGCCGACGCCGCAGGGACATCACATCATGACTGACCCAGGCATTCACCCGGGCACCGGCACGGACCACGACGTAAATGCGCACACTGCTGCTGATCTCGGTCCCAGCAACGACACGGTGGACGGCCTCTGGGACGACGAGGTGTGGCAGTCCATCATGGACGAGTTTTCCATGTTCCCGACCACCACGGGCTTTCCCGCCGGGTCCAGTGTGTCTCATCAGGTCGAGAGACTGCGGTGGTGAGCTGCCCTGGGCCTCTCCTCCGTTCAGCTGGTGTTGGGTTGAGAGGAAGACGCGGCAGACAGGAGGCGGTAGGCTGTAGGCTCTGGACGCTGGACGCTGGACACCGTACCGAAGAATATGGTGCCCCCCCCCCTTCTTGTCTATCATTCCTCTCGCAGGCGTCTCAGCTTCAAAGGGTAATAGTTGGGTATTAGAGCCGTACTTGTACTTGTTCTTGTGCCAGTTCCCTCAACGACCCTACGCAGCGGCGTAATATGTATCAATCTGTCCAGAAAAAGGATACCAAAATACAATTGTACCACTAGCCAAAGAGTCTCTAGGTTGTCTCTGTTTTCTAAGACCCGTCATGCTCTTCCTCACTCCCGCCCTCCCTGCCTACCCACCTGCCTGCATCACATCAGACCACGTCACAGAGGCACAATCCTATAATTGTTCCCCCGACGCTGCTCCGACGAGGCGGAGGCGTCGCAGGCGACCGTATACCTGACGACGCGCTGGCCCGCGACCTTGACAATATCGTCGGCGAGGCCGCTGCGCGGATGCGCCGGGGCGAAGGCGGGGGCCTGGAAGGCGTTGGCGACCTCGATCGGGTTGAGGGTGACCTTGCGGCCGAGTTCCCAGAAGCCCCAGTACGAGGGCAGCACGAGGAGCACGCAGACGAGCGTTGAGGCCAGGGCGCCAAACATCCACGGGTACCGCGTGCGGTAGTACACCTCGGCTTTGCGCTGGGTGGCCTCGACTAGGACTCTGCTTGAGTTCGACCACGCGTCCCATGACACGTCCGTGTCGGTGTAGCCGGGGCGGTTCCACAGGTCTTGCGCGGTCAGGAAGGTCAGCGTGTTCAGGCCGATCATGAGGTCGGTCATCGGGTCGGGGTAGGAAAAAGGACACCCATCCGAAGCGTCGTCGACTTCTTTGGTGCCGGAAAACTGCCCAGTGCTGGACAGGGACCAGGGGTGTTTTTTCGTGTCGTTGCTGGTAATCAGTGTTGCGGTGCTCTTGTAGCGATCTGACAAGGCGCGAGCGATCCCACCAGTGCGAGTCTTCGCTAGGCTCGTAGGGCCCCATGCCGTAGCATTCGAAATCCACCACTGGAAGTCAAATCCGGGGATTTGGCCTTTGTCATAGTCAAAATCATCCGTGGCAGCAACCAAGGTTCCGTAAATGGGGTCGATGCGACCAAAATAAACCGTCGTTTGTGCGTTGGTGTCGTTCGTTTGCGTCGTGGTGCTGTTGGCAAACTCCAGGTAGATTGGATAGCTCAGCATCGCCTCCCGCAGCTCGCATTGTTTTGTCTTTATCGTGGCAGGACATTGCTGTTTCGTGTCCGATGCGTTCGGGTACTCGGCGTCGTAATATGTCAAGTTCAGACCGATCCAAGTATAGTTCTTCGCAGCCGTTGGGAATGTGGTGTTGAAACTGACGCTGAAGACTGTGGTCTCGGTGTTGATATACGTCTTGTTCGGACCCGCATGTGCCTCGGCATCGCGAATCAGATCAACGGCTCGTTTATGAGCATGGTCGTTTTCACACTTGGCGATATACCCGGGGGCAAGGACTGTGAGGTTGCAAATACCCTCGCATTCGGTGAATCCACTTGGCTGGTAGGGTTGGGCATAGGCAGAGCTGGCCCAACTCATGACATCGATAGTAAATTCGTACAGCAACAGGTCTGTATCATTGGCGGCTTTGTTCAGCTGGCCGGTGAGCGGAAGCTGTGGCGTGGGAAAGGTGGTGATGTTCACTGGGTGGGGAGATCCTAGTGTGATGTATGTGCTTGTGGAGCGTTGGAAGAGGATGCCGTCGATGATGGTGAGCTTGGTGACGATGGCTGCCAGGGCAGCGATATTGAAATATTTGACGTTCAAAACGACCGATGCAATACTGCTCCCAAAGGCCCACGTATTGTGAAGGTCGGCGATCGTCGCGCCTTTCATTGCTCGCCTCCACCACGACACGGCAATACCTTGTGCCACCGCGATGGCTATACAGACACTGGCACCGCTGTTGCACACCGATAGTATGACGTTAGGGGCCATCTTCTGCGGCCACGATGAGAGAGGCTTGTTGTTTGATTCCTTCAAAACCACAATTGCAACCGTCGAGAATGCCACAACCATGAGGAGGCATCCGAAACCAACCCAGGGAAAACGTTTCCAGAACCCCGGCTGCCATTGTTCATCCAGCGTGAAATCCGTAGTTGGTCGCCGTCCATCACGGCTGTTCAGCGAAGGATCGACTTCGACGATGGAGACTCCAATGGGGGGTTGAACCTCGTTCTTGTTGTCGACTGGTGATGTCGAAGACGACATGGTGTCTGAATAAACCAGGTCTTGGTCCGATTGACTTTGCGACGCGAGCAGAAAAGAAGCTTCGACAAGCTTCCTGGGGAGGTATCCATTGTCTGATATGTGAAGGGCGAGGCGAAGGCGAGGCGAGTCGATACCCTCCTGATCCTGTCCACTTGACTACTTTCCACCTCTTGCTGGACAGCCAGCCTTCACTCACGCTGGCTTCCTCAAACAGGAGCGCAGCAGCAAGCGTAGCTGTAGACCACCACATATGTGTTCTGGCCAGACTGATTTGACCGGACTGCCAATCATGCGTGGTAGGGAGAGAGAGGCGCTCATTTTGGGCAGCTGTGAACAACCCATGTGTGGGTGGAGAGAGTCAAATAGTTTCGGGGAATGGCGTGCGAGCAGACGAGAAGACGAACGGGTTTCGACCGGTGGCTGCTATGAGGCCCAGGTTTTCGAGACAGAAGTACCGAGAACCTTGTACGGGTACAATGTGTTTGTGCTGTGGGCTGAAAAGGAGAAAGTGAGAGAGAGACAATGTCGATGCATTATTGTTGGCGCCGTGGCACTTTGTCCTTCAGCTGAATCTCAGCCACACAAACACCAACACTCCACATTCAATCCATAATACCGAGTAGGTACTTGTAGGTACCGAGTACCCAGTACCCTGTACCTCGCTCACACATGTTTGGAAGCGAGACTCGTGGCTTCCACAAACAACTGGTTCAATTTCCGTCGACGCCACGCCCGCGGATGGTCTCGGCCTCACCGCAGTGGCGTCTTATCACTCCCTTTACTCTCTCACTCACCCAACTCACACGACTGTCGTGGTATCGTGCCGCTTCTTCCGCGTACTATTACTATGTGTAGCTCATCCAAAAGAATTCTGTCCCAAAAGAAACACTTGCAGGTGAGGTCTTGTGCCATGTCTATCTGTCCTGCCCATTGAACTCCACCAAATGTCTAACAATCTCAAAAATCCCATCATGGTCCACGGCGCCGTCGCCGGCGAGGTGGCGAGGAGTATCGATCCTCTTTCTCAACTCATCATCCAACAATGCTCGTAGCCGCGAAGCCAGAACACCGATCCTGGCCCATCCTCTCAGCTTCACCCACCCATCCACCACGACTCCTCGCCCCAGTGTATCGACCTCGATGGGCCCGCCAAACAACAACAGTCCGTAGGGGTTTAGAGGCGTCAAATCCCGGATGAAGGTCTTGCTCGTCGCCATCTTGGTGAAATAACTCACAAAGCTTGCGTTGCCAGAGAACCCCTGGGCGTCGAAGAGGACACTGCTGGGGTGCACAAATACCCTTCCGTTTTCCTCGTTGAAGTACTTGATTGTTTTGGCGTCCGGGTCGAGTTCTTTGGCCCCGCTCATGGACGCAATGTATTTCTTGTCCGGCATTTGGATGCGTGCGATCTGAGGGTTTAGAGCACCAGCGATTATGGCCCGCAGGAGCATATTGTTGCTCTTCTGTCGGTTGTAAAGAGATAGGTCACTGTTGTAATTGGCAGGCAACAGGCTGGCTTCGATCAAGGAATCAAGAAGCTGCCGTCGAGTCGAGTCAATGTCGCGGAGGGTCTGAGGAGACAAGAATCTTGAAGAACACCACTGCTGCACATCCTTGTATCGCGATGTCGCAGACACCTCTTTCCACAGCTCATATGCTCGACAGTCGACAACGATGTCGCCATCCGACGCATTCATGGACAGTCTTGCTTCCTTCGCCTCATCTCTTTTCTCGCGCGGTGAGACAAACGGACTCTTGGTCGCCAAGATGGCAGCAATTGTCAGACAGGATTCCACGCAGTCGAATAGGACGCCGTAAACGAGCAGTTTCGCACAGCGAAGGTCAGCGGGTATCATCGCCAAGTAGGTCCCGAGACCTGTCAAGCGATCATTCTCCAAAGCACCCATCCGCCGCAAGGTCTTCAGAGCGGTGACAACAGCGCGACTGTCTGGCGGCGTGATGGTGCTTGCCAGGAATTCCTCCACATTACGAGCCGAACCAGTCGCTTTGACCGAAAGACATAGCTGCTCCAAGGGTGTCCGGAGCATTTCTGGGGCGGGAGACTCCGCCATGTTGGCTTCTACATTCCTCGTAAAGAGTTTGTAGCAATTCCCCGCTCGAACTCGACCAGCTCGGCCACGACGTTGCTTGCAGGCTGCCCGGGAAGCCCAGACCTCTTCCAAACGCACGATATTGGTCACAGGGTCGTAGTTCGTCTCCTTGACTTTCCCTGAGTCGACCACGGCCACAATGTCTTCAATGGTGATTGATGTCTCGGCAACATTCGTGGCAACAACCACTTTTCGTTTACCTGCTGGCGGTTGTCTGAATACTAGACGCTGTTCGGTAGGTGTGAGAGAAGCATGGAGCGGTAGGCCATAAATACCGGGTATGCTAGCTAGGGTCCTAAGACATCGGTCGATTTCTAGCGTGCCGGGCATAAAAATGAGAATCCCTCCACTGGAACTACCCAGCTGCATGTCAATATGTCGCACAAGGGAAGCGATTAGCTGGTAATTGATTCCAATACCGAGGTTCTGTATCGCCTTGCCGACTGAGGGTTCATCGTCCGACTCTGGCTGAAATTCTCTTTTCTCATTTCCCACGAGCCGGACAACGTCGTCCAAGTAATAGTCCTGGACCGGGTATGTACGACCTTCGACGTGGATTTTGCCAACTCTGTCGCCG